AAGTCAAATCGTTATTTTTGTACATCTCCATCCCATAGCCTTCCCCCCAGTGGCACAGCGGTATGTCTTCGGACTTACAACGCTAGAATCCGGGTTTCGATACCCGTGGTGGGCAGATCACAGATAGCCCATTGTGTTGCTTTGTGCTTAATTACAAACAATCAACCGTCCCATAGCGTTTATTGCATGGTAATACAGTCATGTACGATGTCAGATTGAAGCTTAAAATAAGTACAAGTGAATTATAACTGCGTACGTATAGAGCATCACAGATATGACTCGTGTCATTTCTTATTCCATCAGTTTTGGAAAACCTTTATACTGATGGTGTTGCTAGTTAAATAATAGTTGAAGTCAATGGTGCGTAAACTTTTTACAGACCCCTGTTTCTAAACATGCGTTTCGTTGTCCCCCCCCCCATCCGTTATTTTCCCCTGTTAATTATTGTTAATATATTACTTAATAAGAGGAATATTTGTACGAGGGTTTTTAAAACTTCCGTATTTCTAAATACGTATTTTCAGATATAATTCATAATCTCCTGTAGTTGCGGAGTTACAACGCTAGAAACCGGTTTTCGATACCCGTGGTGGGCAGAGCACAGATAGCCCATTGTGTAGCTTTGTGCTTAACTTGAAACAAATAAACAAATCTCCTGGAGTCTAAGGTTAAGCACAAAGCTACACATTTGGGCTATCTGTGCTGTGCCCACCACGAGAATCGAAACCCGGATTTTAGCGTTGTGTAAGTCCGCAGACATACCGCTGAGCCGCTGGGTAGTATAAACGGGTAGAACACTCAGATAATGTAAATATGGCTGCTTATTTCCAGTGTAAACTGAATAAATTTAACTATGACATGTTTGATATATTCTGATGTACACTACCTTAGTAACCATAATCTGTTTTTTAGTCGAAAAAAAAATCAATATATGCGATATTCTAGTTTGAGATTTTGATTGAAATCACATGGAAACATCAGAGGCCCGCTTATATTATTTGTTTTTGGTGATACGTTTTGTAGGCGATAATTAATAATGGATCCAGTAGTTTGGTTTGGTTTAAGTTTCGCGCAAAGCTACACGAGAGCTAGCTGAAGGGGCGAGCATGTTTGGTGGAACGGACATTCGAACCCGCGACCCTCAGATTGCTAGTCGAACGCCCTAACCACCTGGCCGAAGAGAAACGTAAAGACGCATTCGAGATTCCACAGGTTTGTCTGTTTCGTTTAGTGAAGAAAATCGCTCTATGAATGCTGCTGAAAATTAGTTGTGATTACACCCTTAACACTATGTTATATAATTCTCATTTCGAGTAGATACCCGGACAGCATAAGTACCAGTTTTTGTTTGTAGTTAAGCACAAAGCTACACAATGAGCTATCTGTGCCGCTGTGCCATAAGTTTGTTTGTTTTGTTTGATTTTAATTATGCACAAAGC